GCCAGGGACGTTTTAACGCGAAGCTGCTGATTGAAGTTAGAGGCTGACGCTGCTGGAGCGGGCGTTTAGGCACAGATGAGCTGAGCAGCAGAGAAAACCCCAGGAAGAGGTGTTTTGGGTTTTTTTTTTTGAAAAGGAAGGGAGAGGGTGGTGGAGAGTTAAAAAGAGGAAAACAACTTAGCACTTGGGAATGGCACAGGGATTGTAGCATTTTGTAAGAAAAAAAAAAAAAGTGCTTCTCTTCAGCAGGGCGAGGATGTCGGAAAAAGTGTATTTTCCATCTCATTTGGAGAGGGGTTATTTGGGGAGGAGGAGGCTGCGAGGTGAGGCCCATCTCCCGCCTCCTCTCCCCGGCGAGCACGGGCCGAGCGGTCAGGGGATGAGACACGGCACCCAGCTCTGAGCAGATTTTGTGACCTTCAGTGAAGCTCTGGCTCTGGCGGTATTTTGGCTCCTTCACCCAGAAGGCTTTAAATTCTCTGTGCCTCTACGATCAAGGAGAGGGCGAACCCGCTCTTCACCTCTGCTCCCCGAGGAGCAGGTGGAGGGGGGGGTGGTGGTATAATCCTGATCAACTCTTGCAGTATTGGATCACTGTATGCCATTAAAAAACAGCTTGTTCTAGGTCTAATGTCTTCTGCAAACGGATATCTGTGAAGGCCTCTGGCCCCTTCCAGCCCTGCCTGAAAGAAATGCCTGCAATGAAATGGTTTCTGATAAGGTGGTGTCTACAGTGGGTGGGTTCAAAACTGTGGAAATTCGACATTGTAAACATAGATTTGGCTACTAGAGAGGGCAGATGATGAAGTGCAAGTACTAAGGCTGTTACTGGGGTGGGGGGACGTAAAAGAAAGGAAAGGCTGAATGTATAAAAGCGATTTGATTGCAGTTTCTGGGTCAACAGTAGTGAAGACAACTGAGTGCTGCTACTGCTGCTATCAGATATTCTTGTAAAAAGGAAAAAAACTAAACCAAAGAGTATTCAGTGAAACAGAGGGTGCATGAAAACGCAATGGGGAAGGGATGGAAAAGGGAGGCTGACCGGGAGGAAGGGGACATGTTCTCCAGGTCAGCATCCCCCAGGTGCAGAGTGCTCCCACTAAATGATACTTGAGATATTTGAGGGAGGGATTGGGGGGGGGGGGGGGGGAACTGAG